CCAAACCGCCTTGAAATCATGACACTGACCAGCAGATTGTTCCCATAGAATCATGACTCATAACTTATTAGCTCTTTGTCTGTGGTTGCTAAGCAATGGAGCAATTTGATTACATTCTCATGAGAAAGCTTGCTTGTAGAAGGAAAGCATAGACATTGCAGTCTGTTTATCATTTGCAAATGAGGTAAGATTATATTCAGTGCTTCTTAAAACAACCTTCTTGAAGCGCACTTATTTGTGGAGTACTTTTAAGTATGCACAAATTTGTTAATGTCTTCTGTAGCAAAGAAAAGTAAGACAGCTTAATTCTATAATGAGGTCATTTTATTTGAAAGATATGTGTTCTCCTCTTATTGATTTTTATGCTGCATGTATGAGTTTCAAAACTGTGGTAATTCATTGTATTTCTGGAAATCATGAAAACAATTACAATAGCAAATGTCACCCCTCATCAAACCAGATTTGCCACATATGAAACTGTTCTTACCAAGTCACCTGAAATTTCCAATAGTCTCTTCTTTCTTGACCCTAGTTTTCCCTATTCTTACAGAAATATTCACTTTTTTTCTTTACTGTCCCCTAACATTCTACCTGGATCTTTATTGAACTGAAGCTTTATTTAGTTCTTTCATTACCATACATAATGGATAATTATGTATGTCTTTCCCTTTTACTATTCTGTGAACTTTTTGAAGGTAGGCTTTATACATATAAATATATATATATATATATATATATATATATATATGTGTGTGTGTGTGTAATACAGGACATATTTATCATCCCAGAACCCAGCCTCATGTCCTTGCCTATATGTAGCAGTACTACTAAATTAAATCATTCATTTGACAAATGTTTGTGATGTACCTCTGAAGCGTCACATACCATGATAAATAGCGATGGCACATGAGTGAGCAACACACTATTCTTGCTCCTAAGACATTACCTCTTTCGTAAACCATTCCTTTTATTTGGTTTGCATGACACCACACTTTGTTTTTCTTCATCCTTCTAGCCACTGCTTCCCACTGTCCTCCAGGCCACCCTTCCTCTGCCTGTTATACTGAAAAAAGGATTCAACTTCTCTAAAATTCTTTCTCTTCTCATCATCCCCACTGCCACTTCCAGGATCTAGTCTGCCACCCTCTTTCACCTCGGTTTTTGCAGAAGCCTCCTAACCAGACTTCTGGTTTCTGTCTGACTCTCTAAAAACCTGTTTCCCAAATTGTAACCTGTGTGATTTTTTTTCCCCTAAAATGTAGATGTGATTCTTTTACTCCTTTATTTAAACCCTTCAGTTGTTCCCCATCAGCCTCAAATCAAGTGCAGCTTCCTTAAGATAGCCTAAAAATCTTGGCATGATTTGGCCTCAATTCACCTCTTACCACACTTCTAAATTTGCTTCAGTTTCTCAAACCATACACTACTCTCTCTTCCCCTTCCGTTATAAATGTGCTCTTCCTAGAGGAAAAGAATGGAGAGAGCACCTCTGCCCAGAGCATCCCCAACATTCTTTTGGTTAAATCCTTCAACTATAGTTTAGATGCACTTTCCTCTGGGAAGGCTTTGCTGCCAGCTCCATCCCACACCAAATCTGGCTTAAGTTCTCTTCTGGATACTACTGTGTCCCCTGTAATTCTCTCACTGTCACATTATCACACTCTATTGGAAGTTGTGTCTTCATGCTACATTATTTGCTCCAGGAGGGATGGAACCACATTTGCCTTTTTCTACTTTCTCAGTCTGTTGTCCAGTACCTAACTAAATACCTGCCACAATACCTGACATGTGGTAGGCATTCAATAAGTACTGTTTTTGTTTTACTGAAGTATAGTTGATTTACAATATTGTGCTAGGTTCACGTCTACAGCACAGTGAACATATATATATTCTTTTTCAGATTCTTTTCCATTATAGGTTATTATAAAGTAATGAGTATAGTTCCCTGTGCTATATAGTAGGTCCTTGTTGGTTATCTATTTTATATATAGTAGCATGTATATATGAATTCCAACCTCCTAATTTATCCCTCCCCCATCCCTTTCCTCTTTGGTAACCACAGGTTTGTTTTCTATGTCTGTGGGTCTATTTCTGTTTTGTAAATAAGTTCATTTGTATCTTTGTCTTTGTTCTAGATTCCATATATAAACGACATCATATGATATTTGTCTTTCTGTGTCTGGCTTACTTCACTTAGTATGATAACCTCTATGTCCATACATGTTGCTGCAAATAGCATTACTTCATTCTTTATGGCTATTTTCCATTGTATGTATGTACCACATCTTCTTTATCCATTCATCTGACGATGGACATTTAGGTTGTTTTCATATCTTGGCTATTGTAAATAGTGCTGCAGTGAACATTGTGGTGCATGTATCTTTTCGAATTTTAGTTTTCTCCAGATGTATGCCCAGGAGTAGGATTGCAGGATTATATGGTAACTGTAAGTTTAGTTTTTTAGGGTACCTCCATACTGTTTTCCATAGTGGCTGTACCAATTTACATTCCCACAATAAGTACCATTGAATGAAAGAATGAGTGAATCGATCAAAGTACTATTCAGTTTAGTGATTTGGGCCTAAAATGCATATAATTTGCTCCCCAATTTAAGAGATCAACTGCTAATATCCTCAAAATTTTAAGTAATATTTGAAAAAGAAATCTAAAATTTCATATTAAAGGTCTGGCCTTTTTAATAAAGGAACTAAATTTTCATAATCGATAGGCTTTATGAACTTTTCAAGTTCTTAATTAGAAGAAACCATGGAAAATATCCTTTCCGTTTGTTAGACTTGAATGGTGAAGTTAAACTTGTTCTTTATTGCTGTATAATATTTTTAAAACTGAAAACATTTCAGTCATATCTCAGATTAACTGGGTGTGACTAACATTATTTGTGAATCATAATGCCATGTGGAATAAGACAAAATATTTTACACCCCATAAGTAACTCAGGCTGGTAGACTCTAGAAATACCCACATAACGGTATTGCCAATGGCAAATTTCTTTAGAAAGATCAAAATAAAACAAGTATTTTTTTTTTTTTTTTTTTTTTTTTTTTCGTCCGCGGGCCTCTCACTGTTGTGGCCTCTCCCGTTGTGGAGCACCAGGGAAGCCCAAAACAAGTATTTTTACATGAATCAGGGTGTAATGTTCAATGCAAACCTTCATCCATCACTTTTTTTTTTTTTTAATTTATTTCTTTTTGGCTGTGTTGGGCCTTCGTTTCTGTGCGAGGGCTTTCTCTAGTTGCGGCGAGTGGGGGCCACTCTTCATGGCGGTGCGTGGGCCTCTCACTATCGCGGCCTCTCTTGTTGCGGAGCACAGGCTCCAGACGCGCAGGCTCAGTAGTTGTGGCTCACGGGCCTAGTTGCTCAGCGGCATGTGGGATCTTCCCAGACCAGGGCTCAAACCTGTGTCCCCTGCATTGGCAGGCGGACTCTCAACCACTGCGCCACCAGGGAAGCCCCCCCATCACTTTTTTTAAGATGACTTTTCATCTGTCTTCTTAAAGTCACTTGCATGCTGAAATTGATTCATTCTGTTGGTGACAGATTTTCTGTCAATTCAAGGACCAGTTGTTCATAGTATATGTCTATTTTTTGTTGTGTCAAAACATATTCAGAATCTCCAAGGCAAGGTGAATTGACATCTTTATTTATTTTCGTTTTTGACATCATGCAAGATAATGCTCCAGAATTGACAATTTTTAGTGTTTTCTCAAGAGAGTAGAATCTGTTCAACTGTACATTGTTACACTTGTTAGTATCTTTGTTGAAAATAAGATTAATATTTTCATAGATAATGTATAGGGTGATTTCTTTTTAATTTTTGGTATAGAATCAATTTTTATCCTTATTTAAGGCTTCTGAACTTATAAATTTTGGCTGTGATCTTATCTAAAATGCATCAGTTCTGAGAAATAGCATGGCTGCCATTTAAATCCTCTTTCTTCGTTATCGGTCTCCTACTAATTGTTTTTTAAGAAACTTCTTTTATATGCCAACTATACACATAACTCTTTAATAATGAGAATTTTATTTCAGTTTGATAGTTTTTTCCCAAACCCAATCATATAGTATCTGGAAATACAATTGTTGAAAATGAAACCAAAAAAAAAAAAAAAATCCTTTACCCAATTGTGATATATTTTAAGGAATCTTTATGCATTCTTTTAAGGAATTCTTATGTATTCAAATATCACTTTAACATTTTATTCTTATTATTCCTCTAATGTTTCTTCCAGTCTCTTCTCTAAGGTCAAAATCTCAGAAGTTTCTCAAGGAAATGTTCTTGTGGGTTTTTTTAGGAGTGATCTTACCTAACTGATTAGTTTCCTTGAGCTACTGTTAATGATGAAATCATTATGCTATTCCTATATGAAGATGGCAAAAATGTAAGTCCACAGGCATTCCTAAGCGAGAGGCATTTCTCAGACCTCTGAAAAACTGTTGCTCCATCACTTGATATGTTTGATGGTCTCTTAAACTTTGAGCAAGAAGTTCTATCAATGTGTTTTCCAAAAGCCTACAAAGGTTAAATTGTAGTTCCTGCCTTTCAAAAAGTCTTACCTACACCTAAGTTGAAACGTAATAAGGCAGTAATTCCTAACTCAGAGTTGCACATTCCTAACACATGGTTGG